TCAGTTGAAACGAAGAATTAGAGTGGAGCTGAAAATGTCCTGATAATTTTTACGTGTCCCCATGATAAAACTGAAATTAACCATACGAATATTAAAAAGAGGTTAAGTTTCTAACGTTATTTGTTTATTTGAAGGGGATAGTCTTCGGGAATGCTGGTTTGATCATGTAAATTCTTTAACCTGCGAAGCTACGTCATTGGGTGCTATAACATGCGTGGGAGAAACTGGCAAAGATTAAATTAAAGCTTAATATTGAGGCACATCACCAGATTGGATTTGGTCTATTTCATTAAATATGTGTTATTTGAGTTTTAGTTTAAAGTTATGAGCAGCAGATCGAAAACGGATTATTATTTTCTTATACAATTCTTTATGTTCTTTCACTCATTCTATTAGCTCCAACAACTACCAACAATGTTTCAGTGGAATAGCTCTATGGTGAAAACTAAGAAATAAAAATGTCTCAGATATGGCTGCATTGTTTAGTTGCCTTTAATTATACAAACAACATCAAATTTTACACTATCGCAGTCTGAGGTCTTCCTTTTTTTCTAATTTAATTATTTCATAGCAAATAAGCACATAAGGTTTGTTTTTTTTATATTCAGGCAGAGGTCGAGGGCAGATGCATTATGTGTAACGTCGGTCACATAATGCAACTGCCGTCCATCACGCTAAAATAGCAAGCGGAAACATTGTAGTCATGTCTCTATGTAAAGGATATTATACCGTTAAGAAATATCTAAATGATAAAAAGGCATGGTGTTAGATATTTTAACTTTATTGTATTTACTTTCTAACATTGTAATGGAAAGTGACTTCATATTCTAATGAAGTCACTTTTCAATAAGACTTCTCTGTGTGAAATAAAACAGGAAGAAAAACAGCCCTTGCTGAGTTTCTTGCCGGTTCTTCTTAGTACAAGGTCTCCCGCCGTAGTTTTGCGATTTTCGACTTTCACAAGTGCTCTGTAAAAACCTTAACTGAATAAATTAATTTTGATTTGATTTGATATGTTTAGATATTATGAGCCAAATAGCTATTTTCAACTCTTACTTTTATCATGGTTTCGTTTTATCATTGTTACATTGATTATACTCGTATTTCTTATTATTCTGAGGGTAATTTGTTCTTACCCTAGGTTTATTATAATTATGATTCATCAAGCGCCTCACGATAGTACAACGTGTACGGATCAATCTTCCGTAAATTCACAACAATTATTTTTTCAGCAAAACTTGACTATGACCAAAAAAATACCATCAACCTTCTATATAATTAGTTTTATGAAATTGTATGCTTGAAAATGTTTATAATTCTAACCTCTTTTGTTTAAGTAAACCAAATTTCTCATCGAAAAATGACAGTTTTATTAACAGAACAGAAAAAAAAGGTTTATTCTAAAAATCCACAACATTATAGCATCAAGTATGCAGCTAGCTAGTGGTTATATTCTCTTTGGTATCACCTAACAAATGGTTCACATCCATTAACACTCAACTCATAGACATTATAAATGTTGGCCGACCAAAAAGGTGTCGTCTGAGCGGCACCGCGTCTGCAACTAGCTGATAAATCTACAGCGAGTAAAGCTTCGCTCAATTTGTATTAATATTTATTATGTATATAAGTGCACCGTGACTGGTGATAAAAATTTGAGACGTTCGCCATAAAACAGGGGTTAATGCATTTAAGATTTATACGACCTTTTCAAAATGAACAGGTGAGTGTAATACTCTATTTTTTAGCTGTACGTGATGGATATGCTTTATTTTGTACGCCCTTTTTATGTTCATTGGAAATTTATTTTTTTATTGCATGTTAAACTGACTAGATCAACCTTTCCCAAAGTGAGCGATTCTGCCCCCTCGTGGGCGCTGCAGACCTAAAGGGGGCGATAAGAGACGGGAAAATAAATGGGAGCGTTGTGTAGAGGCTTGGGTGGTGGGGGAATTGTAATTTCATTTAGCATTTATCGAGGGCGCTAAAAAAATTATTTATTCTCAAAATGGGCAGTAGACAAAATAAGTTTGGGAACTTCTTGACAAGATCATGTAATGATGTATTGTTCCTTCAATATTTTTGTTATCATAGAATTTGTTGAGAACTGGTTCCCAGATAGAACCCGTTTTCCCGGTCATAACCAGACCATAAAGTCGCTTGATATAATATTCACCCATCCCGTGGCAGACCCTTGCGAAAGTTGCTTTATGACAACGACCACGAGCCGCTTATCCACTATGCAACCGAGCTAATCTCGTTATCGTTGTATCTCTTTGTATTATTATGTGATCTCTCTATCGTTTGTATGTATAATGACTTTATATTGAGCGACGAGTAATCTTCGACATCAATTACTTGCATATGGTATGTCAAAGGGGAAAATTCAAACTGCCTTAGTTTCCTGTAGACTGTAGATTGCTTTAGCTTGCTCCGAATAATTGGCATCTTGAGGTCAAGACGCTCTTTTGACTATGTAAGGCACTAATTTAAATTAACTTTACTACATGAATTAGATAGCGGAGTGGATAGCTATTCCGTTTACGAATATGAAAGATAAGCAACTTTCGCAAAGGCTGATCATAGGATAGGTGACAAAGCTTTATCAATTCTAGTTTCTGTTGGAAGGTGTATATGCAGTTGCTTAGGATCCACTAATTTATACTGCGTAGCCTGTTCTCTCTCAGTAATTCTCACTAATATTGACCTAGGTACTATATCATGTGGCTGATATCAATTAAAAAATTAGTTATTATTGCCAAAAAAATTCTGAAGTAGGTATCTAATATAATAAAACATTTCAGCAACCTTTTTTACAAAACCACATTTTTTCTAACCTGAAAACCTATCTATTTTACAAATCAGATAATCAGATATTATTGAGAATTAGTACCTAAGACTTAAATGTTATCATCTCAGTCTAATTTTCAAAAACTCTTTAAATGATATCGTATTATTTATTTAGGATACATAAAAAACACATTTATCACACATAATTTTTAAGTAAATGAACAGAATAAAAATATGTATAAGCTAAACAATATCGAGTGATCACTATATAAAAAAATGGTCATTAATAAAATATAAAAAAATAACAATCAAATATAACTATTGATTATTTAAACGTAATGAGTAACATTCATAATAAGAACAATTATTATCTACTCTATTCACTAATATACAATAAACTACTAAGTGTAAACCAAAAAGTTTAGACTCTTTTTTTAAATTTAGATAAATATAAAAACAAATTACTAAAAAGACAAGGTCCATTAACAATGGTGACAATTCTGTTAGCATATAACTGTTCTAAATTTAATTCATATCCTGTCAAACCACTACGATAACTGAGGAAAACTAATTACAGTATGAACGAGTTTAATATAACATCTTAAATGACAATAACATCGTATGACAAAGAATAAATCCAAATCAAATTAGTACATTTGACTTTTTGAGTATTGACATAAATATCATGTGAAAGCTATAAAATAACATAAATAGAAAGTAACAAACAAATGACATAATAAGTTTATTTATACAATTTAACGAGCAATTTTTACTCAAACATTTTTAGAAAATCTTCAAGTCCGAAACGTTTCATTATCCGCACGAAAACCCACCAATTAAGGTACCCACCTAAGCCACCTACATCGCGACATTCAACAAATTGGGACCGTGTATACATTCGCAGTGCAAATTTAGAACGCGGTCGCAATATCAGCAACGGAGTATATGAAACGGGGTGTTATCGAAAAGAGTCTTATTGCACAGATAAAAAGGTTGGCCGTTTAATGAGTATGACATGAATGATCTGACGGTGACAGTACGACGATCCGTCTTGCCGAGCCCCGCCAACTCACTAATCAACATACGACACAGTAACCGCAAAGTAAGAGCAATATTCAATCGTAAATTAAAGGAACTGAGTAAAGGTAAAGTACTGAATTTAAATTAAATGCTATTTGGTTTTGTTTTTTTTTTAATTTGGTAAAAACAAAATGTCTGATGCATGACGACATTAGACATAAATAAGAAGTGGGAAATGAAGATATACATAGCAAACTTTGAATTACTTTTCAAGCTGAACTCAAACTTTAATTTTATTATTGTATTATATATCGATATGCTGATGTCACCTAAAATATAAGAAAAAGAATGTATGCGCCATGTTTGCTTTTGAAAACACAGTTTGATAGGATCGTTACTAAATTTAATGCAGTTTGTACCACAAGGGTTGGCATCGATACTTAATAATTTGATATGTAACTCAGAGTGATTTGAAACAAACTAAGTATCTCGATAGAGTAATCTTTTTTTTTGACCAAGCCAACAACTAAGAGCCCATACCAAAGTTAATTTCTTTCTTATAGATGTCATGTTTTTTAGCGAGATGATAACAATAGTTAATGCTATAGGTACAAAACTGTAAAAACTCTTAATCATCATTGATCTATAATTCTATGCTAAAAGCAATATGACTTCAATCGAATAACAATAATTTAACAAGCAAATAAACAGCTAAAGCTAAATAGTCTAAACATGATACAAAACTTTCTTTACTTAAGAATGAGTCACGATAGTCAATTCACTAAGAATTTCTAGATGTTAAACTCTATGTGAGCAAATAACATGATTTAAAAATCTATGTGAATGTGTGTACATTTCTTTAATATTTACCATTAATGTCTTTTGAAAATAGCAAAGACTAATTGAAGACAAATCATCAAAATGTGTCCATTAAAACTACATCGTGATTGCAATTTTACATAGTTATCTTGAGAAGTAAAATTCAGACAATAAATCTGAAACATCACTAAAAATAAATCACGCTTAAGAATTGCGAATTTAACAGCAATAAATAATCTGCCTAAAGACAATCGTCACATACAGATGAAATTTATAAGATCAGTAAACTGACCATTCTAGATCGCATACCAATAATGAGTAGTAATAATATTAACGGCCTCGTAGGTACAAAACAATTTGAAGCAAAAACATCAATTGAGAACACATGACTCGTAAGTGGGTATCATGTATTTGATGTTGATGAAAGCGTCAGGTCCTCCGTAGCGCTCCAAGATCTGAAGAGTATCTTCGATGAGGTCCGCAACATTCTCGTCTCGGCTGGTAGTATGATCTATTCCCGAACCCAAGTTACCTGTGCCAAGAAAAATAAAGCTGCACTTTTTCCGAATACAAAAGTTTACTCACCATCTACATTTTAGTTACATAATCTAAGTATTATTTTTTAAATAAACTTTCTGAGGAAATTTTTTATGGGGATGGCACAACTTTTACAGCATATGAGATATTTTGGATAGTGCCATAGTTATTTAAGAATATTTCAACTAATATAAATTAATGCCAGTTATTAATTCAGACAAATCGAACCAATAGCTAAAAATATAATTGGTGAACTTGCAGAATAGCTAAATTTCATGCTGAGTGAATATATTTTATTGTTCATTACTCCAGTTATATAGAAACATATTTTCAAACATTGGCAAACACAAGAGGCGATCGAACTTAATGGCAGTCATCGTGGTAGATTGTTGACTGCTACCAACCCAGATGCTGACACATTTTGTGAAATTAGTATCAACACAGAAGTCAATAATGAGAGTATTGAGGAAATAATTATAGAAAATATATCAGTTGAGAAATTTTCAATATCTGCTAGATCTTAGTTATCTGAAACTATCAAAGCGAATCCACAGTATAACCTATCTCACGTAAATGCTATCAAGTGTGACGCATGGCGTACATCGGATGCATGTAATTAATCTACCGCTGACAAGTCTATTACGTTGAAAACAATATCTCCTGAGCCGGCGCGATGTCAATTATTTTGCGCATGATGGATGCCGCCCAATCGACGGGACCGAACTCTCCTCTTGTTACGCGTAGTCAGCGTTACACATTACCTCAAGATTTTCACTACTAGGAATATCCCATTAGAGCTTTGGTAATCTAAACTTTGTAAAAATAACAACAAAGTAATTATAACTTTATAAGTGTGGACGAAGTGCTGCCCGTTGAATTTAAAAACTCTTTCAGTATTTATCTAATGCCAACGATTTTATTTTTGTGAATTAATTTCCTTTTGAGTCGGGTAAATTTTAATCTAAAAAAAGTCAAGAATATCATCGAAATTATTTATTACTGTTTTATTTATTGAATAAACTTATTGATTATTTGCGTTTGTCCAAGCAGTACGAATAGACATAACCTTTAAGTGTAACATGATTTATGTTTTTGATTATTTATTGATAAAAGTGACCTATTTATTTTTTGTTTAGAATTACACACTCTTGAGTAAGTCCTCACTCCTTTACCCATAAACTATGAATCGCTGAAACTGAAAAGACCTCAAGAGACATTGTTTTCAACATAATAGAATGTCGGGTTCCACAGCAGATTAATTACGTGTGACGTCCCACATCGTGACAACACCGCGTCACGGCGGCATTGTTGTGCGGATTCTGATCGTTCCGACCGCTCTGTGGCGCATACTTGACACAAACGATTATTTGTCTTGTTTAAGCACATCGTGCACACAACTGTTTGGTTTGGAATAGCGTTAGAATAAATTATCAATCTTATAAGATTCAGTTGAAATACTTAAATGTGTGATAGATTTATGTTATGATATGATATTGGTATTTATATTAATGACATTGCTTTTATTTATTGTTAATAAATCAAATAGCATAGTGATGATTTGGGATCATGCATAAGTTAAGAGCCAGTTTGCGAAGGCATCATATATATGCCGAGCTCAAGGTGCCGCAACTTTAGACATTGCTTAAAGTCGTTAGTCGGTTCCTAGTCATTAATGAAATGCATTTTCACCTTAGTAGATTTCTAAATATTTAGGCGATTCGTAAGTTTAGTGAAAATGGGCATAAATCATACAACTTTATATAGTTTGCCCTAAAGATTGTATAGGTACTCAACCATTATATTTTTTATGAATTAATGTTATTCTTTATGTTGCACAATGAGCTTCCTTAATTGTAATATCCCCGCAGAATTTTATACCTTTGAAAAATCAACAACACTTAATAAATTTAATTACATTATTCACGACCTCTTCTACATTGCCATTTGTATCCTCATTATCACCGTCAGCCGCAACAAAATGTATGTAAATTATTCAAAAACCAAAAGTTAGACAATGTTTTGCTTCACTTATTTAGCAGTGAGTTCATTAGGCTCAGCGTAAACATTCCTTGTGGACGCGACGCGTTCACACCCTACCCTAATGCCTCGTCTCCTATGTTGTAAATAGTTGTGGCTTAGATGTTAGTGTAATTTTTCAAAATGTATCTTGAATTTCTCTTAGTTATAACTAAAGATATACTAGATTAAAATGTCATGTCATGCATTCTTAGCTTTCAATGAAAATAAAAGAATATGTCTCTGATATTTATTTTGAAATAGATATTAAACGGTCTTTGAATTAAATGGAAAATTACAACAATAAGAATAAAATAGTAATTTTTCCATTAAAAAGGGAATATATTTTTAATTTGGTCTTGAAGCGATATGACGACATTAGGGCAAGAACTGGCTCGGCCATATTTTGGAACTGCATTAAGGGATAGATATATGTGCATCCAAATAAGATTTCAAATGTTCAATTCCCAGTAAAATACTGAAATATTGTTTTTGCAAATTTGTCGCGCTTAATAAGAAAATACCAGTCCATAGTTCTTTTATTAATACTGTTACATCATGTAAATATTCTACCTAGTTAACTTGTTATTAACACTTATACATTTATTAACTTTTTTAAATCGATTATGAAATAGGCATTATAATACGTTGGTTGTTACAACAATTCACTTACGATTTCGAGTCTTGAATAAGTTGAGTATCGGTAAAATCTGCCTGTAGTACGGCACTAGTGCCTCCCCCACTTTGTCGGACCCAGTGACAATCATCTGAATGCACTTGAGCGCGTGGCAGATCACCGAAGGCCGTTTCGTTGCCAATGCATCTGTAAAACATGGATACTTAACTCGTGTTAACTTTAGAACAAACTAGATTTACCTGAATAGACTGTGTGATTCTATAGATATTATTATAGTAAGAAATTCTTATAAAGCATTGCATAACTATCATTTTTCTAGAGAATTTTTCTTGCACGCTAGTGATAATTTTAGTAACTTATGTAATATTATTAATTTTCATTTATTTAATACTAGGCCATCTTCGGCAAGAAACATATTATGCAATTATTTTTTCAGTTGATAACTCTAATTGTATAATAGTAGGCAATGCTTTATTAGTTGAACGTGTAAACTTTGTTTCATATGTTTGAGGACCTGTATCTGGCTTTCTGCCCCATTTCTTAATATAATTTATGTTTGTTAGCCGTAGACCTTCCTATGATATAATAAATATATAAGTTAATAAAAAATACTATTCCAATCTTGAAATATTATTCATAACCACAATATAAAAGTTTTAACAAAAGATTTCGTAATCTTTTGTTAAATCTTTAATAGAAGAGAAATTTTCTTATGAAAGTGTTAAATGAAAAATAAATATAAGAATAAGCTACGAAATTGAAAGTAAAAAAAACAACACTCAAAGAACCATCAAAGTAAATCGATGCCAAACGGTAGATTTCATCGAGATGAAAAACTCTAAATGAACCTTAAAGAATCCAAATCATCGTGAAGTGAAAAAGTAGATCCTCTTAAACGTAATCTAATACAGATGTTGTTTTAAGCAATAATCCCGGGATTACGGGAGAATTTCATTATTTTTGACGTGTACGGGAAGGTCGATCCAATCTGAGTGAGAAAGATCGAGTTGCAAGCCGTTTGATTGTGAGAAGATCCGGTGACGCTCAACTCGATAAATCAACAAGGTTGTGAGCCGACTCGAAGTAATTTGTATTGAACTTCGATTTAGGGGTGTGATGTGGCCCATTATTAAGGCACAGCTAATGTTTTTCTGTATTTAGACGTATATATTGCTAACGGTAGAATCTGTAATATCAAATACAAAACATGCTCTAAATCAAATAACTTAATCAATCATACAATGCGGACAAAGCGAAATAGTCTGCCAATAGTAAAAGCTTTCAACAATAAAATTTAGGTTATGGACAATCCTGTTAGTATTTATTTGAACAAATTTTATTAGAGATTTATTTGTGTTCGTTTCTGAGGTTTGTTAGTAGTTATATTTGAATTTATTAGTATTATTTGCAAGCAGTTATGATTATGCTTTTTTCAATTACAATATTACAAAATATTTTATCTATTTACCTTGGAATCCAAGCAATAAAAATATTTGTTTATTATCAAATCGAAGAAAAAGATATGTTGTTTTAAACTTTCATGGTCATTTACATTAGAAGGATCGTTCATGACGCTTGTAATAGCACCAAAATATCGTAAACTCAATAAAAACAAGGTAAATGGTAACAATACCATAAAAACTATCCTTCCAAAGAAAATAAGAGTTTGACTGTTACTTACTACCAATTTAAATAAAGCTAATTTTGATTATGACAAGAGTTACACGTTGTTTATTAAATTAAATCTCGAAAATAAAACTTGTACGTACTCTTAATTGGAATTATCAGCTGTGGCACAACAGGCAAGATTTTGTAAGACCCTTTGGTGACCAGATCGTTAATTCCTTCCTCCACTATAAAGCTGAAGGGGTATGTGCCTTCAGCTAAGCCATCGAAAAACATAGGCAAGTAATGATGGAAGTCCAGTTTTTCTATTGGAACCTGTAAAAAATATTATTTTTAGTATGATAATTCTATAATAACCTATTTTAATTCGAGGTGTGTGATCGCTTATACGTTTTTAAATGAAAGTGCTTCTTCTAATATATTTTAGATTGCAGTAATAAAGTATGCTTCAAGGCTTAACAATTAAAGAAACGACTCATCAGTGAACGTATGTGTCGAAGAATTTACTAGTGGCAGTTTTTCTATAGTATTCTTATAGTAAATATTAATAAAGTTCGCTTCCACGGATTTTGATTGTAGTTTCAAATTTTGTTTCGTAATTAAGAAGATTAAATTGGATTATCCATGTTAAATCTTCGCTTCCCTGTACCTGTTTTTGTTTCTTATTTCTTGAGAATGAAATAACAACATGAAACTGTGTATTTCATGGAATCGTTTTTATGTTTTTTCTTTATACATTTTTACAATAGGCTAAAAAGCTAAAAATAACCTTCCATCCGAGCTTCTTTCCGCAATTAGTGAATTCGATGGACACGGGAAATTCTCCTCGCTGATAACACTTTCTGAACATCGTCGGCTTTGCAGGTTGAGGATCGTAGATACCACATTTCGGTGGAGGCTTCACCTTAGTGTTCTTCTGTAGTGCTGTCAATATACATCGATTGTATTATTAAGGTACTGTAGCTGAATATCAGTATTACCCGATGTAAAATAACTGACTATAAAATAGTTATTAGCTCGCCAATGAAGTGTATGATAAACGTTTTATAATGCTATTTCATCAATACAAATAGAAATAATATAAAGATAAATTATTATGTACTAAGATAATTATGAAATTAATTTTTGATAACATCACAAAAATTGCTCATATCCCAAACTTATAGTCTTTAATACCGGGAATCACACCCGGGGAACTAAGAGATGTCGACGCCTAGAAACTCCACAGATATCACCCCTCATTTATGAACTCGACGCATGAGTCATTGTTTCAATACCATTATAAAAGGATTACTTACCTTGTATTGTAAAAGCAGGAACTATTCTCGGCTTTCTCATCTTATGTCCATGAGGATAATTCGGGCTAGGCTTCTTCAAAGACTGCCTAAAGTCCTTCCCGCACATATCGGGCGAGCACGGCGGTAACAACACCATATTGACGTATCACGGATCACAATAACATGTTACAGTAAATAATCCAATAATATAGATCTGAAGTGTTGATAGAAGTAATAAATTGAGAAAGTAAATTTGCTCACGGCGCGGCAGGATTGTGATTGTTTATTTTGCAACATGATCGTTGCTTGGCAACCTATATCGATTGCTCGCTGGTAGCGCCGCCAAGCGACTTCTGGTCGTCTTAGGGCGAGTATACACGCTATTTGAATAAAAAAATAAAATAAGCTTTGAAAAGTAAATTTTCTTAATAAATGAATTTCATTTTTTTCTAAAATGAAAAATCTTATACAGTGAGTTAATTAATTATCTATTAAAATCATTTCTCAATACGAAATCTTTATACATCAAAAATAGACTGATCTTGCTGTATCCCTTATACGTTATTTTCTCGATTGTTATTCGATTGAAACTATGGTGGAACAGCGATGGACAGTTCTGGGTAGTTTCACACAGACTTGTTTTTACTACATAAATAAAATAGTAAATATAAAATACGTTTTTTTTATACAGCAGTCTGAAACTGCTCCGATAGGTTAACTGGAAGTTCAGTATTGAAATGAAACAATTGTATTTAAATATCAAAAAAGGAATTATATGTTTTTTGTTGGTTAATTTCAAATTCAACTGCGAAAATATTACATTTAAGATAAATGTTGTTGTGTATTCTGCGGCATGATCCAATTCCTAACAGTTATAACATTTTTTCTCATCATCATACTCTTTTATTATAGTAAAAATTTGATATTTATGTCACTGTGCACATAAGAGTTGCCAGTGAAAAATTGTACAATAATGAAATGACTTACGAATAATGATTTATAAAAACTTATAATAAAGATTGACTATGGTTTTTTGTAGCCCTAACTCGTAATAAAATGTTATAGGAAATATCAAAAGGTATTTTCTTTTTCAAGAAAATTCAAGCTATAATTAGTTTGAATTTATATAGCCTACTAACCATACAAAAGCTGTAAAAATAGCTTTTAGCGATAAAGTCTTCCTTAGTTGATTTGCCAAGTTCAACAAAGAATAATTGTATTGTATAACACAAAGTGTTTGGGTATACCTTATAAAAATATATCAATAAAGCACTTCTGAGACTTCTGCTCTCCCCTTATTACCTATCTTTAAAGCGTTGACTATATATTAGCATTGAAAATTTTTATTATTATTTCTCATAAAATAACTGTGGTGGGCGGAAATTTCTTTGAATCATTATCAGTAGACTTCTTTTGTCATATAAAAATTCTTAGAAACTTTATATCGTATTCTAAAACTTTACAGGTTTCCATTATAAAGGCCGAGTATTATATTGAACGTTGATTGTTCAATTTTATATGGGAATTTCCTGAACATTTATTTGCTCTCAAATTTGTGACCGAAATATAATCATTGTGTAACAAAGAAATTTTGAATTATTATAACTTCTCTTAATAATTGTTTAAAAATCAAAGCACTTTTGCTAGATGGAGTGAGTTTATACTTTTTTTTATTATGAATATGCTCACAGTCCTAAGAACAATAGTAGGGAAGACCGAGAAGTTTTAAAACAGAACTGAGCTTAAACAACCCTAATTTTTTAAAATTTGAGAATCCTTAGGAAGTCACCATCATCGCTATTACCATTTTACCACCACAAGCAGGTGATTTCAGTCGACGCCAAGTTCCAACTTGCTAACGCTTTTCAAATTAGAAGAAATTGGGGTTGTTTCAATACGAAGGTGTGTTATAAGATACACTTATTTAGTATTATATAATCTATACTATATATAATAGTTATATAAGAGTTAAAACACAACAGTTGCTTGTTTGTTTACATTGAACACTCTAACACTACTGTACTGAATCTAAGCACTTTTGAATTCACTATACATTTTCACCGGCTTAGGTTTAGAATAGGTTCAAATAAAAATATAAAATCCTTTACAGTGGTTCATTTTCTGTGAATAATTTATATATTATTATTATTTATAGGGTTCAAATAAATAAATCATATATTATATATTTCTTATATATTTATATATTTCTTTTTTTTACCATTTTTTAAACATAAACAACCAAACGTGATCAAAACTAAAAACAGCAAAATTCATGGTTATGCTTTTAAAAATAAGGGAGCTTTAGCGATTTATTGTAGGTATAATACAATCGCAAGTACGTCGTAAGCCTACCGTTGACGCGGCAGAATTTCGCGGCAAATTGAACGGGGCGACCGACGACGGTGGGCGTTCGATATTTAAAATTTAATATTGCATCAGCTGCGAACCGCATTATGAGAATTTTTATATAGCTCTAGGAACTTTAGATCCGATCACTATGGTGAAATCATATTATGGGTTTTCTATGAGACGCGCGTTATTAAATTACGTTCATATTTATATTTCAATGCTGTTTGATGTGGATTTAGCGGGGAGATTTGATTTTAATATTTATAGGGTAGAACACGATATAAAAAACATATATTTTTCCTGGTAACGATATTATTGTTGTGAGTTTATGGAGGTATGATATGATAAGAACATGTATAAAAAGAATAACTAGATAATATAAGACACATTGCTCAGAACTTAACATATATAGCTAAAGCACTAGCTTTAGGGAAATGAATAAGTACCACAAGACAAAAACTTGAGATAAAACGTAGATATTAAAGCTAAGAAATTTAATAAGTGTAAAAATATTTCAAGGGTTGGTTATTGAAAAAGAAATTTTGGAGTCTGGCAGAATATTTTGATGATAATTGAGTGATATAAATTTTGTTTATTTTTTTTTTAAGAATGAATATTAATTTATAGTTTTATGTTTCTTGTTTGTAATAAAATGTAAACGTATATTTTTTATTTTTAATCCCACAAACTTTTTGTTTGATTTTTTTTTTCTTTTTAAATGTTTGTTTAAAATTTTAGATTACAAATTTTAATATTGCATATCTGATTGAGTATACTGTTGTTACGAATTACTTAATAACATCTGCAAATTATGTATGTACACAGTAAAGGCAATAAAAATATTTTTAATCTTAACAATTTAGAAGAGAAACGGGATAGCTCAATATAAATGCATCAAATTATAAGAAATTTATTAAACTATATTAATACTAAGTATCGATTGGAACGAAAAAGAAAATAGAAACATTAATAAAATTGAAATCAATACAAAGAATCTCCAAAAACATGATTTCTCTTAGGCGTGCAAGTACTTAACTTAAATATCCTTGTTATATATTAAATTATACGAATATTTATAAATCGACCTTACTTCATAACTTAATAAGATAATTACAATCATTAAAAAAAGTTTTTAAAACACTCTTTTTGTCCCCATTAGGCTTGTGGCCGTCAAGTCAAGATGACGTCTTGTTTTCAGATCTCGCTGGCTCCATCTGTGTTGTGACGTTATGATTACGGGGACAAAACACAGATTGCGTTTATATTGATTGAGAGATCTAGAAATCGCTAATTACTTACAGTGTTTCAAATATGCTGAACTTCCTCTACGTTCACCCCACCAGGTATCGAACTCAGGACCTCAGAGATGGCGATACCTTAACCGGTGTAATACAGACCAAAAAATCATATTAAAAATTATATAAAATTCAAATTCATATTGAACAAACATATATCCGAAATAAAAGACAGACCATATAAATAATGGTACCACAGACATTATAGCCTATACGAAACCTGAGCGGCCAGTAACAATATAAAACAAAACTCCTTTCCAATCCGCAGCTATTCTCACGAAGCAATGGAACTTACGTACGAGTGCAACTTTGGATTTCGAAGCAGTCAATGATTTCGAACGGGGGAAACCCGAAAAATGGACGTGGAAATAAAAAAGCACGCGGCCGGGATACTGTCGGCTTTCGGCCGATACCTGCCCTCTTTTATTTTTCAACTTTTTAGTTTCGTCGGACGACCCGAATCAGTGCTTGGTAGGCAGAACTCGGTAGCAATTTAAGCTCACTTTTTATATTGGTGGGGGTCAATTTATTTCGGTCTGGTTATCACTTTTGCATGACGATGCCTATTTAAAAATTGAATGGCAATGAAATTCTTTTAGATTTAAATCTCTGTAAAGTGCGCGAGGATTTACTATTTAGTTTTACGTATTGTGTAAATTATAACGTTATTCAGATACCTAATAAGTCATTGGGATCGGTTAAATCAAGTGTAAATCTAACGGAAAATAGGGCAAGCATCTCTCAGAAGTATAAGGTCGTCGAACGGTAAATTCATATTTTGTTAGTTCTAACGTTCCTTTTCTAAAGATAAGCGACATATCTTCAACTATGCATCGACCCGGTGCATTGTTATCAGCAAGAAGTTTATACAATTTCTGTCACCTTTATGTTTAAATATTCTTATTCAAATTGATAGAACCGATATATTTTTAAGCGATTTCTGAATTGAAAAGTATATTATTTTATTAATATTCTGTGGCTATATGGTGATGTTTGTCTTTTGTTTATGTATGTTCATCGATATTTTCGTTAATTGTCGACCGATTTTCTAAATTATTCCGACAGCTTGATAGGTCGAGGTGGTTTTCATTCGAATTTTATCAAAATCAAATGAGTAGTTTTCCTTTCATTACAAAACAAAATACGCTTTCCAAGAGATATCAGCTAAATATTAAGATGATATGTTACGACATAGTCTATTTTAGAAAAAAAACGAAGGTTTGCTTATTTACCTTTATAATTCATTCAAAATCTGAAAATAAAAATGTCTATATTCAACGAGTATGTATACTTTACTGTTCGATGTGTATTTTTATGAAAATGATAGTTAGTAGATATCAGTGAGTAAAGTCTGTATATAGGGGTAAGTATGTTCATGGATTTCGTCTTGAATTGTGACCCGATTTCTATCGAACTAGCTGTTTCCCCGCGACTTAGCTCGCGTTAATTATAGCCTACGTCCTCCGGCTATTATGTAGCTTCCCATAGATGAAAGACATAAATCGGTCAAATA